GACAGAAAGGGCTTTTCAGCACTCTCAGCCCCTGTTTGGTGCTTTCTTGGGGTGCAGACAGACTGCAGCCTTGCTGCTAGTTGGCCAGATGAAAGCATGGAGGAGAGCACTCTCCACAGTGCACATCTTTCCAAATGCATAGCAAAATGAGAAAGACATAATACAATATATTTGGATTTAATTTTGAAAGGACTAATCAGTGGAACATATTCAGTACACATTTCACAATAATTTCTTTTCTTTGCACTGACTTTTTGAAGGCATTGACTAGAGGGAATGATTAAGGCAGGAAAACAACCTGTAAGAAAAATGGTAATATGAGGTGGATCATGAGGKATATGAAAAAGATAGAAGATGAAGTGCTGCAAAGTTAAAAACTTTGAAGAATAAGAGAGCTGTTTTTTTGTCTCAATGCAGAAATTAAGCACAGTGTTTTTGTTGGACCAATGCCTAAAGAACATAAGTGAGAAGACATATAATCCACTGAAGTACGTTAGTTAGGCTGACAAACTTATTTTGAAGACTTCTAAGCAGATATGTTTACTGTAATTGAATGAGAACACTGTCTGGATTGTTTAAAACATTTCATCTTTCTCTTTTACACATTTCAATTTGCTTGGTAATGTGATGTCCTTATGGTGATTGTGGTACAATACTGCACTTAAGCAAAGAAAATACAGCTGAGATTTTACACTACGGCTCTATTTTCTAACTGTTCACATCTGCATATAAAATTTTTATTCTTTTATGGTATGTTTATGTCTGTGTGGTTATAATGTTTTATATACAAATCCTTTTTTTATATTTGAGAAATTTGTGAAGTTTATAAAATGTATGGAACAGATACATGGAACCACAGGAAAAGATTTGGAGATGGTTAAATTGACCTGTACTACTCAAATAACATTGAATAGTGATTTGCTAGTATACATCTTTCCACTTCATTGAACTAATTCCCACGGACCAAAGTTTGTCAGAATGTAATTTTCAGGATCAGGGCCCTCAAAATTTATTTAAGGACCCTTGAGTTTTCAACTTAGACACAAAGTAGTAATAAATATTATTATAATTACATTATATATATATATATAAAATTGTATTTGATATATTATTTTATTATAGTATTTTATATTATTTATATATTGCATAATTATATATTATTAGAACAAAAATAATAAAATAATTTTTACTTTCACATTGGACATCTTTTTCAGGAATGGATATAGTTTCTTAAAGTTCTCTATAATGTTGAACCATCAATATTTGACATAATTCTCATGATTATTTCTATATATTTKTAACAAGTTTCTAATGTGACTGGGTTATGCATTAGCTGCCAGTGCTAGGGTTAATATCAAATAYGGAAACTAGAATTAAAGAAGAAAGTAAGCTCTTTCTTAAAGTATTCTTCTAATGTATTCTTTTGTAACCATAATAAGAAATTGGATTTAATATTAGAGGGGTTTTAGGATAACTGATTAYGAAGTGTTCTGTAGTAGTAAGAATTTTTTTTTCCAGTGGTCTGATTTTAGATCAGTTGTTTCTCAAACRAAATTTGTTTCCACCACAATGGGCAATTATAAAAGTCAGTATCCCTTTACAAAACATGGAAAGGGAAATTCTCACTTGATTCCCTTTGGCTTCTGTACATTTAGGCTTTCACCTACAAACTCTGCTCACGTCTTCTCTGAGCACAACTTTTAGCACAACTTTGTAAGGTAATAAAAACATATATATAAAACATGCATATATATATATATTTACATATATATGTATATAATGCTTGGGTTTTACTGTTGAACCATTAAGTGTTCTGGAAGGAACCCCATCTCACCTTTCTGAAGGGGTACATTCTCTACATTCAGTTAAGCATCATAGTTGGCAGCAAAAATGAGGACTAACTTGTTTTTTCACTCTTATGGTCTCTCTTATTGTTTAATTCAGCATGAAAGTTGGGAATAATTACATTTTATGATCTAGCTTGTTTTTGTATTCATCCTACAAGTAAATACTATTTAAGGAACGATTTTTATAGACTACAAGTAAGAGCCATTTARCCAGTGAGGATTATTTTGGTCCACTTAAGGCTGCAAGAAACGATTCAGTGAGGTACCATATTTTATGTTGCTTTGCTGAAAAATGTATTTATGGATATTATTCCATTGCCTACATCTTACTCCTGCAAGGAAAGATAATGACAGAACTTTTTTTTTTTGTTTGTTTTTTGTCTTTTTAATTAGGGTTCCAGTTCAGTTGTAAAAGTTCAGCATAATCTAATTTGGAGCTGGTTAAATGCTTAGGAGCAATCTGTTTGCTCTCACATAGGACTCCCGTTAACATGACAGCTACAGTTATATTGAAACAAGCTCAGATGGTTTCATGTCCCCACAGAGGAAGGAGATTTAAACTTTGAAATAAAAAGGCTTGAAGATCTTATTTAAGTAGAGGCTGGGTAAACTGGCAGCACTCTGTGGGAAGTGAGTTATGGACAGCCCTGCACAGCAGCCATCGTTCCTGTAAATTTGAGCAATGTGTTTCTACTTTAGAGCAATTTCATTCAAATGTTTCAGAGCCATGAARTGGTCATCAATTTCTACTTAGGCCCTCGTATATTCCTTCAGCATCCAACATACACCTTGAGATGAGGTTTGTAGAATTATAGCTGTGGGAATTTGGAGAGAACTATGGGTGCAGAAGAATTAAACTTGGGGTTCTCTGCCAAAAATTCTGTGGAGAAAGTTGGGATGTGTATCAAACTAATATCAGCATTCATAATYCAGTATTAAGGACTGTGTTCTGAATATGTTTCTGATGTTTGACAAGTGACAATATTAGGGAAAACAAGGACAGTCAGAATTTTAAGCTGACTGATGACTGGAAAGTGTAAAAATAGTTAACATGATAGCAACACAAGGGTGTACAATATTCTGTCATTTATAATGCGTCATTGTAACCTAACACTGGTCTTTCGGTTCKATTATAATTAACATCCTCTGACTGTTTGTACTTGGCTTACAGTATGTCTCAATGTTATGTGTTGAGAATTGTAAAAGGTGCATGATTGTGCTGTTTCTGTTCAAGTTGTTTCTAATTAAAAACTTCACTGTCCAGTGTTCTTTCAATAAGGGTACCTAATACAATATTTACATTATTTTAGKTGTAGAGAAACTGGCTTTTCAACCAAACTGAATGATGCATTTCAATCCATAAGTGTATGTGTGTGTGTATATCTATGTATGTATACACTTACACATTAATTGGTTTTTGACAAGGCCTCTCAATTCTGTCTTACTCACCTTATGCTTATRTTCACCTCAAATCTCAGGCATCTGGAAGAAATCAAGACTTTTCATGTAAGCTGAACATCACAATTCCCAGAAAAAATATGCAACCTTACAGTGATAGTCACTAGAACTTCTCTCCCAAAAATTCAGCATATCAAATATCATTAAATAAAGGTCTAATGTCTAATTAATGCCAGATAATGCAGGATTCTTCTACCTGCATGAGCAGCTTAGTGATTGGAATTACTRTGTCTTTTTATCCCTTTTGATACTTTAGGCTTGTAGCCACTAAATTCCACATATATGTTTTGATTTCACAATAGAAAACATTTACTTTTCTTTTATGTTYTAAGTATCTTCTATTGTTTCATGTTTTCTAAAAAGAGAATATGATGTTTGTGGGTCCTTGAGCTGACCCAGAATTGTAGCTTTTAATTTTTTCCATTCTGTAGTACCCAATTTTGACTATATTTCTAAAGCTTTCACTTCTCTTTCAAGTAATGAAGGAATTACTTTCCATAAAATTTGAAGTTCAAAAGTAAAAGTATAAGCAATTTTTCATGTTGTCAAGTAATCAACTGAAAGACTATCTTRCTTATAAAACTTTAAGTAATTAATGAAGAAATAAACTTGAAATATTTAGATATTCAAACAAATTCTAGTGTCTTTTTTGTATAAGGTTCAATCTTATTGTTCAAATACTATTCGTAAAATATACTTGCACATATATTAAATGAGGAAATTTGGTAATAATTTTTGAAATAACAAAGTTATTTGCATTGAAATGCATGAATTTTAATAGTAGTGCATATACAAATCTATTTGAGCTTAACGATATGAAGCAGACTAAATATATTTGGGACCGTGACAGGATTTGTGTGAGCTTTCTCCTTTGAAAGGACGCTCCTGGCTTTGAATTTCAAACACTACCTTTTGTAGCAGGTGAACAGGAATAATCCTCTTTTTTTTTTTTTTTTTTTTTCCAGTTTTTAATTTTTATTTTAAGAAGGCCAGATAATTGCATGTCTGCCTCACATTTAGTTAAGTCTTTGGTGATGGGCTTTGAAGGGTGTGTTTTATATTTTGCTTTTTTTTTTTGTTTGGGCTTTAATTTTGGGCTGGGGTATTTTAGGTTTGTATTTTACTGTCAGTCTTTGCTGAGAAGTTCCTGATACCMCTATTAGTAGTATCCTGCTCTTTGAAGGAAACTTTCACAAAAACTCTAGTTTGAAATAGAAACTGGAAAAGTACAAAGCTTCTGGGAGGAGAGTGTCATCCTCCCCATTGCCTGAGAATTTCTTTTTAATGTGAAAGGAACATAAATCTTAAAAAAAAACTAATGGTAGCAAGGTAGATTAAAACAACCTGATTTTGGTCTGAAARTAATTTACTGTTATACAGTAATATACTGTATTTATTGAATTTGCATTGCTCTAGTACTTTTTCCATTGTTTTTCAAGCATCATTCTAGTTATAATTTTCTGTTTGGTCACTACTTGGATAATGTAAGTGGTACCCATTATTGAAAGGTAGTCTGTATTTGTACTAATACAGAGAATGCCAGTTTAGAAATGAGCCTGATTGCATGGTTCATTTTGTTCTCCTTTGTAGAGCCAGGCTGCGGCCCACTACAAAGGCACTAAACATGCCAAGAAGCTCAAAGCACTGGAAGCCATGAAAAATAAGCAGAAATCTGTTACTACCAAGGACAGCGCAAAGACTACCTTCACTTCCATCACTACCAATACCATCAATACCAGCTCTGACAAAACAGGTTAAGCGACAATCTTTGTTGGTTTYGTTTGGTTTGGTTTTGGTTTGGTTTGGTTTGTAGTTTGGTTTTTTTTCTTGTTTAATTCCATGTCTGTTTGGTTATGTGCTTGCCACATTGATTCATGCTCGATCCATCTTTCTGTGTGATATTGATTTCTTTAAGTCCTCTCAGTAGGCTGGTGAGAGTCTGATAGTCATGTAGCTGATTTCACTTAGTGATAAGAGGCTTGACATTCTTTTTATGATGGAATGCAATACTTATTACTTGATTAACATAACAACTGATCTAAACATCCTGGTCTGTTTATGCACTATCTCTCTATCAATAATGATATATGGCACATTTCTTTTAACCACAACATAAAAAAATTGCACTATTTGTGTCTAGAAGCCTCTTAAAAAGCATTTTCAGTAAAAGCCTAATTTTCATAAATTTCAAACATTGCATTATTTTTTTAAACGGCTATTGCATGGTTCTGAATTAAAAAAGAGCTGTATAACCTCTATTCCACACAATCAGGTAAGTGCTATTGATGCCAATTATTCTATTCRTCTTCATACTGAAATAATAGCATTTAAATTATTATGTGGGTAAAAGTTACTCTTTTGCAAATAAAATCTACTTGAGCATTTGTAAAGTCAACAGGATTTGGTTAAGATTGCATTTTAAATATGCAACTGTTGTTGRAAATTTCAAAGGAAGGTTGTGAGTTCCCTGAGAGGTAGTTTGGTGTCTCACAAGGTATGACTGCTCTTATGTGTGAAGGGATACAGTTTGAATATTTAGGCATAACCAATCCCCCCTCCTAAGCAAGGCAAAAATACCCATAGGGGGGAAAAACCCCAAATCTGTGAAACATCAGAGACCTACCTACTGATGCTGAAAACTGCTCATTTGGAACCACTTCTGATGCAGTAAGTTTAGGATTATAAATGGTTGTCCACTGACCAGTTATTACAGAAAAGTACATTGCAGGCATGTGTAGCACTTTCTTTAAGATCCACCTTCACTGTATTTGTTATAGACAGATGCATCTCTATCTATCTCTCTATATAAATAGATTTATCTGTTATAGCTCATCATTATAGACAGCATATATTTTTAGGGAGATTTATAACTGATTTATAATGGGATGACTTTAAGAAATATTTACTACATTGTTTTTGTCTTTGTTGCCACAAGAAAAAAATATTTTGAAGGTTTTTGTGTGATGAAAGAAATGAAGTATGGGACAATAGGAACAATGTCAAAAGTTATTTGGGAAAATATATGTTTCTAAATACAATATTTTCAAACATTTTAAATATCAATTACTTTTAAAAGTCTATCATGCTCTTACCTGTTGAGATACTCGGAACAGGAAGGAGGATATTGTATGAAAAGAGTGATTTATTGTTTTCCAAATATTATCTAGTGGTTGAAGAATATAATCTTTTAAAGCTTTAAAATGTATTATTCAAAAGCTTTTATCTTAYGTTGTGTGAGTGGGAAGGGTTTTCCAAGGTGCCTTAAAACCAATCTGAGTTTTTCCATCAAGCTTTGATTTAGTTCTCTGACAAGATACACGAACTGTCCTTTATCCAAAGTCAGTAGTCCAAATCAGTTCTTCTATCAGCATAAGTAAGAAAAYATCAGAAATCCAGTTGCACACATAAACAATGGCCTATGCAGGAATTTCTTCAGCTTTACACAGTGGTTGAGAATTCCTGGATTAATTCCTTAGAATGTGTGTGAACATATATGTATTCACATGTATACATATATGTATTCTGTGTTAGAAATACTGACCTTAACAGGGTCTAAAAGACACATATTGATATTAATTGACAAAACAAAAATCTTAGAATTTCTTTAATTATTGAGAGCTATATTCAAGTGGCCAAAAGCCCTACTCAACCAGTGGCATTCAAAGTAAGGCAAGCAGTCCATCTCCAGATGAACTTATTACAGCTCAGCATTGATGTGGCTGGCAACAGAATAAAATCCCTGGCATAAATGATCCTTTGTCAAACACGTATACATAGTGAGGAAAAAAAAAATTGGGTGGCGAAAATGATGAAATTTTCTTTCTATTATGACAAGACAAAAAGTTCATAAATTGGATTTTACTTCYTTTCCAGTTGTTCTTATGTCTTATATATTTGTTTGATAGAAATTCTAAGGGCAAAATTGAACATCAGAATATACTGCACTGTGTGAGTTCTCACATTTGGAAATTATCACTGTAAAAGTCAAACATCCTGATAATAACATGTAGTTCTCAGGGAATAGTTGTACTAATGAGTATAATTCATAAATTGATCTTTTGTAACTAAAAAAAGTTACCCATTCCAATGTACTTGTGATCATWCAGAACAAAAGATTTTTCTGCAGTRTTTTAAARCTGTCTGCTGAAGATTAATAGTTGATCTCAAATACGCTGAGGATAGGGTCATGTACATATCACTTCTTATATATCATCTGCAGCAGTGGTTAAATGGTGAATTACATGTCAGTCACAGCACATTGGTCAGGACTTCACATCACTGGTTCTGTGTACCCTTAGCAGCTACAGTAAACAAAATGTCATCWGGAAATCTGCAGTGCTGTGCAATAAGGATTATGAAAAGAATCACACAGTATACAAACTGATTCAAGGGATAAAGCAGCAATTTGTTATGTTGCTTATTCTGGAACTATATTTTTAGATGTGGCTGCCAGCATGTGTTATTGATACTTCACAGCTCACAAGATAAGCTAACTCCTTAAAACCTCTCACACATGATTCCTGGTGTTTAAGTTGTGTGTTAAGGAGAAAACATAAAACATGGTGTTATTTTTCTCATTCTGTGACAGCTTTTTTTTTTCCCCTTTAAACAAACTTTCAGGATTATTAGAAGGCTTGAACTTGAAAAATCTTTGGGGCAGTAAAACACCATGAAGAGTTATGTTGGCAGTCATATAATGGCAATGCCACTCAGTATGTGAGAACTTTGTTATTGGTTAYATTATTTGACACACTTCTTTCGTCTGCATTTACCTATTATTATATTACACAGTAGTCAGGAGAGAAAGGCAGAAAGCGTGAGCATTACAAGGAAAAGCCTTCTTTATGGCATTATACAAACCAGATTTCAGTATTTCTTGAAGATTTAATTCAGGTGTGGCAATAAAAATGCATATTTTTGCTATATATTAACAYACATGCATACATATTCCCTGATATTAAATGGTTAAACATCTTTTATATCTTTACAAATTGCTCCTCTCCTTTCTGAAAAGGTGTATTTTCTTCATAAAGATACTTCACGTCTTCAGCTATAAGGACTGATACTTTAGAACACTTTTCAAAATGTTTAGACAGAGTGCTTTCTATCATCCTAACTAAAATACCTGTCCAGTAAAGTCATTGTCCCAYGCTTGGATTTTTGGATTATAGATTGAATCTCCAGTGTGATATCCATGTAATATTATGCCCTCCTAGTTGTTACATGTCTAGATATTAATGTTTTCCAAAGCTATGTGAAGTTAAGCAGGACACTCCATGATCACAGTATCATAAATTAAGTCTTGAAGATTTGGGCTGCTTTTATTTATTTATTCAGCAGAGAACTGAGTATGTGTTAGATCATTTGGTATCAATGGAAAAKAAGGAATAGACCTTTCCAAGGGGAAAAAGAAGGTCAGTAGGAGCCATCACTATTGCAAAGTCTTTMATGTCACTTTGGAATGTTATATACACTGTGCCTTGAATCCTCTGTACTTAAATGCAAGGAACAGCTCTTAAAAACAGACAAAAATGTGATGAGCAGAAAAAGTGTGCATCTGGGCCCAGATGCACAGGCACAGACAAGATCATCTGTCACTGGTACATTCTTAATAGCTAAGAGACCCCTGTGCTGTCAAAGAACRAAATACTGGCACCTGTCCTAAAAAGCTTACAGTTTCACGTAAGATGAGAGACAAGGAATAGACACTGTAAATGCAAGAGGCAGGTGCTTAAAGGAGTGGTAGTAAAAACATGTTMAAATGATAAAGGCATCACAACAAATGAAAACACTGAGGGATGGATTAGAAGGAAAAGGAACAGAGTTGKTTTCTTTTTCAGATACTGAACATGTGTGGATAACAGCGTGGGACAAAGCATAAGTTCTTTTTATTTTTCCTTCACTGATACATATGGAAATCTTTCTGTGGAAAAAAAAAAAAAATCTTAGTTTTGTTACCCCTTTACAATCCTCTTTTTTTGTGTGTGTTTAAGAGGTGATAGGATATTTCTGGTCAGCAGATGAAACTCACTCCTGAAATAACAATTTCAGTGCAACTGGAATAATTATGAAATTGAGATCAGTTGGAGTGGAAGAGAACATTTAGGCAAGGGCTTCGGCCTAAAAATGAAGGCAGAAGGAAGAAAGAAATCAAAAATTATGTAAGTCAGGGTAAACTTTGCAGGAGGAAGAAAGGTAGATATGACAAGAAATGGAAAGGTTTAGAAAGATATGTAGGCGTTTGGCAGCCACAATACCAGAGGATCACAGAATTTTTGAGGTTCTGTGAAGGGACATCATTATGGACTTCTGAARATTGACAAAGCCACCCTTACACATCAGAGCAGAGTTAGCCTGATCTGGATGCCGAGTATCTTTTTCAGTTGAGTTTTACAACTGAAATGTTTACAACCTTTTGTTGGGCAACCCATTCTATGGTTTGACCACTCTTAAAGAAGGGCAAAATAGTTTTTCTTGTGTTTCAGTTTGTGGCTGTTGTGTCCTTCTCTGTCACTGGGCACCACTGAAAAGAGTCTCTGTCTTTTCTATTCCCTAGCCTCACCAGGTATTTATGCACTCTGCTGGCTCATGTTTCACGTGGTGCCCTCCAGGGTCCTGGAGGGACAAAGAAGTGCCTTCTTCACAAAGGAACTTTCCARATGTTTAGCCTTTAGCCCAGACTAAAGGTTTGTGTAGGGTTATCTCTTCCCAGTTGTGGGGCTTTTGTGCTTCCCTTTTGTCTTGGTTTCAAAG